GAGCTTGTTCACGTCGAACATCAGAATGACGGGAAGGGGGGGCGGACATGAACTCTGTGAGTTTCAGTATTTCAGAAGCTGCTGACCTCCTGGGATTTTTTTTTCACAGAACATTCTCTAGAGTTGTCAGAACCATATCTCTGGTTTCCCACTGAAGTTAAGCAGGGTTGAGCCTGGATGGGGGAGAGCTCCTAGGGAAAACTAAGGTTGCTGCTGGAAGTGGTATTAGTGAGGCCAGCAGGGGGCGATCATCCTGTGGTCTGTGTGCGGTCTAGTGCCCCAGTATAGTGACGTGGACACTAGACTGTAAAAACAGCACCGTCTTTCAGATGAGACGTTAAACCGAGGTCCTGAGTCTCTCTGGTCATTATAAATCCCAGGACACTTATCGTAAAAGAGTAGGGGTATAACCCCGGGGACCTGGCGAAATTCCCCCATTGGCCCTTCTCTATCATTTATAATAATCCCCATCTCTGAATTGGCTACATCACTCTCTCCTCTCCACTAATAGCTGGTGTGTGGTGGGCGTTCTAGCGCATTATGGCTGCCGTCACATTGTCCATAATATTGTTGGTTGAGGAGATTCCCCCCCCCATCTATGTAAAGCGCTTTGAGTGTCTATTAAAGCACTATATAAATGTAACTGTAATAGAGTTTACACAGAATGGTGCAAAAAAACATCCATTGAACATCAGATGGACAGAAACGCCTTGTTGATTAGAGATCAGACCTGTTCTGGTTCTAGGCCAGACTGGTTCTAGTGAACTGGTGTTACAACCAGAGTTATACTAGGAGACTCGGGTAACCTGGTGAGAAGAAAAGCATCCCAACATATCGAATCTTGAGGCAGGTGAGTGACAACAGCAGACGACCACATCAGATTCCACTCCTTTCAGCCAAGAACAGAATCTGAGTCTACAGTTGAAGATCGGATATAGATCAGGCACCGTTTTCAATCAAAATGTCCAGGTTCCGCCGCGCTGCTGCCACGTGATCGGCCGGTTTTGCTATTAAAGCGGCCGGTTAGTGTATTTCTAGATCACAATATTCCAGTTTGTCGTGGAAACCTTTGTGAGGAATGTTTTTATTTCCCCTTAAAACAAAGTCAGTGTGTTTTTGATCGAGTATTGTAAGACCTTTTCTTCTTCTCTGCAGATTTGGAGCTGTATAACGAGGCCCTGAAAGTCCTTCACGATTTTCCTCAGTATTACCCTTTCGAGGTGTCATCAAGCGGATAAAACGAAGCAACGCTCTGCACTATTTCTTTCTCTCTCTGATTTGTTTTCTTCCCTCCTCTCTTTCTTTTATTGTGCATGTAGTTTTCTTTCCTTTGTAAATAATCTAAAGCAGTTGATGAAAGCTGTTCATTTTTGTTACTTCAAAAATAAAAAGTCTTACTGAGGAGCCAGATTTTGGTTTGTTGATTTCGAACTTGCTCATGTACGGTGATTTATGAATTTTTTTTCTTTAGTGTTGTAAAGACTCGATGAATCAAATGAAAGATTCAATGAATCAAATCAATGCACAGTTTGATTGACCGTATGACCCTGATTCAAAATGGCGCGCATCGGTCAAACATGGCGAGAAATTCGTTATGTGCGTCTCTCTGGATCTCACTCTCTGTTCATTTTCTTGATAGTTCTTCTATGACTAATTTACACTTGCTCCAGTTGATTGTGTATCCTTAGAGTTTGCTGTCTAGTGTCGTACAATACGAAAAGGACAACAGGGTTGATACATCACTAACATGCTTGTTTTCTTCACGGAAAATAAACACATCACAGATATGAGACACAAAAAACTTTTGTTTAATAGCTGAACAATCAGGCTTCGCGAAACGTACCTCAAACAAATTACATGAAATTATTTGAATTAATGGCGTTTTTTCCCCCAGATAGTAGAGGGGAAAAACCATTGAATCACTCAATGTTGAAGAGAAAATGATCACCTTGTAATTTGTGTTTCTGAAAACCAGCACAAGTCTTAAAAATGCTAGTTAGTTAAATGACATTGCTTACAGAACTCAACCTTGGACTTTTTGAAAGGGAACATGGCCCCAACTAGAGAGTTGTCGCTGGAACAATGGAAATGATTATAAGGCTCCTCCAAGAAGGAGATCCAACACGGAGTGTGGTAAAAGGTGTCGGTTGCTCCCAGTCAGCTTTGTCTGAAATTTGGTGCAAGAATAACAAAAACGAGAAGGTTATAAAAGGAAAATATATCCGGGTCGATTGAGGAACACGGGAAAGTGTCAGGATATAAAACTCGAAGCCATACGCCTTGAAAATAGAAAATTCGTGACAAAACTAATGAAAACAAATGGAAGGAAACAGGAGTCCGTGTTTGTGAACTGTAAGGAATCGGCAGAATGAAATGGGGTTTACGTATAGAAAAGCCAAACGAAAACCAGCTAAACAGAAGAACGCAAGGTTAAAGTGGGCTAAAGAGAAACAATCATGGAGTGTGGATAATTATTCTTATAAATATTCAGGAATGAGGGCGCATGGTGGTTTAGTGGTAAGTACGTACGCCTCACACCTCCAGGGTCGGGGGTTCGATTCCCACCGAGGCCATGTGTGTGTGGAGTTTGCATGTTCTCCCCGTGCTGCTTGGGTTTCCTCCGGGTTCTCCGGTTTCCTCCCCCAGTCCAAAGACATGCATGGTAGGCTGATTGGCGTTTCCAAGTTGTGTGAATGTGTATGTGATTGTGCCCTGCGATGGACTGGCACCCAGTCACCCAGGGTGTACCCTGCCTTGTGCCCGATGCTCCCTGGGATAGGCTCCAGGTTTCCCTGTGACCCTGAAAAGGAGTAAGCGGTATGGAAGATGGATGGATGGATGAACTCAGGGATGAATTACAAAGCCACACTGGCAAAGTGTAATTTTGGACAGTTTTCTCATTCCATCGATAGAAGATAGGTTTGGTAATGATAAGGTCATTTTTCAGGATGATGATGATGCGTCTTGCCACAGAACAAAGAGTGTTAAAGCTTTTCTCAATCCCACTGAAAATTAATGATGGAAAGTAAAACAAAACTGGTCCATGACAAGGCTCCATCCTGCAAAGCTGATCTGTCAAGCACTATTCGAGAAAGCTGGAACCAGCTTGATGGAGAAGGTTGTTTTTCATTAGTGAAGTCCATGCCTCAAACAATTCAGGCCGTCATTAAAGCTAGAGGAGGAGCAACAAAGTACTAAATGTGTTTTTTTTTTGTGGATGACTCCATCATTGTTTCCTCCTAAGTGATCTGGAAAAAATATATGCCATTAATTAAAACAATTTAAGTTCACTTGAGAACCTAGAGTCCAGGACCGGAAAGCATGGTGAGAGATGGCCTTTAGAATCGCCGAGAGGTCCAGACTGATTGCTACTGATGTACTACTAATCGATCTTTACATTTTCTGAACAGCATGATCTTTAACATAAAATGTATCAAGTGTTAAAAATGATAACTCTGCCATCACGCTGCCTGTAGATGGCGACACACCGTTTTGTCCCAAAGACCGAACAATTCTTATAGTTTGACTCATAATCAGAGACTATGATAAAGTCTCTACAGTAAATAAACAGAGAGTTTCACAGCAAACCTGAGCTTCAATCTCCTGTAGCACTGACTCGTCCTTGATTTTCCTTAGTGGCTAGTGCTTAGCATGTTTGGCTCGCACCTACGGGTTTGGCGGTGTGAATCCCACCTCCACCCTGTGTGCGTGGAGTTTACATGTTCTCCCCGTGCTTTGGGGGTTTCCTCTGGGTATACTGGTTTCCTCCTCCAGTCTAAAGGCTGATTGGCATTTCCAAATTGTGTGAATGTGTGTGTGAGTGTGCCCTGTGATGAGTTGGCACCTCGTCTAGGGTGTCTACTGGCTTGTGCCCTGAGTTTCCTGGGATAGACTCCAGGCTCCCCCCGGCAGCACCAGGCATGAGTGGGAATGTGTCTTGGCTGGAACACCAAGACACATTATGACTAATGGCACTAGAGCAGTGTTTCTCAAATCCAGTCCTCAAGCCCCCCCTCCCAGAATGTTTTAGATGTCTCCCTATTTAACACACCTGGTTCAACTCGTCAGCTTGTTAGTGTGTTAAATAGGGAGACATCTAAAACATTCTGGGAGGGGGGGCTTGAGGACTGGATTTGAGAAACACTGCACTAGAGGAACCATGTTTGATTCTGTCAACCATTCCGTCGTGTTGCCACATTAAACGTTGCAAACAGAATAATCATTTCCAACTACAAACATACTTCATACTTCAAAATGCTAACATTGATGGTGGGGAAAAGTTTTAGTTCTTCCTAGAAGAAAAAAAAGGGGGTTAATGCTATTAATCAATCAATCAATCAATCAATCAATCAACCAATCAATCAATCAATCAATCAAATGTTAATTTAGGAAATTTGTTTTTAAATGATCTGGTGTCCCATTCAGTGTGTACTCCCACCCTGCGTTCAGTATTCCCACTACAGACTCCCAGGATATACTCTGGATCCACCATGACCTTGATCATGATAAAGCATGTGCTGTAGATGAATAATTAGAAAACAAAAGTACTTAGTACTGAAGGAGTATACTTGTGTACTACACACCACATTTATGCAGCTTTCAGTATGAGTCAGTTTTAAGGTAGAAAGTTTCATAGGTGTCTGTGTGTGTCTGTGTGGTGTGAGTATGTTTTTAATATCTTGGTGAGGACCAAATGTCCCCAGAAGGATAGGAATAACATCTGACAGTTTTGAGTTTATGGGGACATTTAGCTGTTTTGTTTTGTTTTGATTTTTGGTCAAGGTTAGGGTTAGATTTAGTGTTAATTAGCTGCATTAATATTCATATCAAGGGAAGGTCCACACAAGATTAGTAAGACAAACATGTGTGTGTGTGTGTATGAGACCATGCTCAACACTAGAGGGCATACGAGTGTGTGTCGGACTCCTTCTGTCAACCATCCGATGTCATTGCTCAAAGACCCATTAATGATAAGGTTCCTTAGGAAACCAAGAATGGTTCTTCTATGATATCGCTCTAAAGAACCTTTCCTGACACAATTGCTTTTGTTTAGCAAATTCAATTGTGTTAGATATTAAATATTAAATAACCTGCACCCATACTCTTGCAGTGGATCACTGGGACACTTGCTGAGTCATCAATCAGAGGACATGCTGGTTCGAACATGTGATTATCATCAAATTACAGGATGCACACTCTGAGGTCAGAGTAGACACTAAATCTGACTGATGTTCGACTTCACAGAAAGACGCTAAAAAGGAACTTGTATATAATAAATACTATTTAGAAACAGGCAAGCATATAGTCCTCTGTCCTTTGTACAGTGTTACGTCAGATTCTTACAGAACATTGACACTGGAGACTCCTACCATGTCCTCACTGGAAATTTCACCATATCAACGTCTGTAGATTATTCTTTATTAATACATTTTTACTGTTAGTTGTAAATTGTGAGCGTATACCACCGTACAGTTCCCCATGTTAGTTGTTACTATAGAAACAATAATATATTTGAGCAAAGACATTAATATAAACCCTAGGCTTGCCTTAAAGCAGGAACTATTTTCAGAGCTGTTGTTGTGGAAAAATTCATCAACACCTTCTGACCAATCAGAATCGAGAATTCAGCAGCGAACTAAAACAAGATAAAATAATAATGCTAAGAATGTCAAACAACCCAGATTACATCGCTGTGTGACTGAGTGATGCTTTTGTAACCAAGATCACACTCGACCGCAATATCTCACATTTACGGACACTAAAAGTGTCACCTCGTTAAAACGTCACTTTAGGAGCTAAACTTGTAAACCTTCCCTCGCTAGAGGGGGAAAAACTGTGCTCCAGAATTTACTACACTGATATCGTACATGCAACACGTCAGCCATATTTATGTCCTGGACCTGAGCTCTATATAGGGTCCTATGCATATTTGCTCAGGTTTCTTTACATCTTTATTCTCCTTTTACTTGGACCAATTTAGATTCTGGTGTTTAAAAAATAATAATGAAATATTATTAGTATATTACATCTTTAATGACAGTTTTGGATGCCTGTTTGTGCAAGACATTGCTAAAATATACATGTTAACGTTCAACAATAAAGGCTTAATTGGGATTATATGTCATGAATCTACACAAAATAGCTCATAATATTGAACCACAGCGCTGCCTAGAGGACGCCGTCCACCAAAAGTCACTGACCAGGTAAAACGGAGATTTCTTGTAGAAAGAAGGGTAACTGTAAAGGAGAGCGCCACAATTCAGGTAGGAGAAGCTGTTCACATGATCACAACCACAGCCTGGACTCTACACAGCGCTGTAGACAGCAAAGCATGTTGGAGACTCAGCAGACATGTAGGAAAAGCTTCTCCGGTCTGATAAAAAACTAAAATATCACCTTGTAGCTTTGAAACAAAGCACTAATTCTACACCGCTCATCACCCTGGAAACACGGTCACCACAGCGAAGCGTGGTCGTGGTAGCTTCATGTCGTGCAGATGCTTTTCAGCAGCATGGACTGGGATGGTGGTCAGGGTTGGGGACAAATGAATGAAGGAGAATACAGGGCAATACTAGAATAATAGAAAACCTTATTTCAGTCTATAAGAGACTTGACACTTGGGAAGGAGTTTGACCTTCCAACAGGACAACGACCCTAAGCATACTGACAGAAGTGGTTTAAATGGTGCCAGGGACTCTACAGGGGGTGAACACTTATGCAACCAAAAAAATGTCCGTTTTTTGTTGTTGTTGTTGTTGTGTTGTTGTTAGATTAACCTTCGTGTCGCAATAAATATTTTGTGTAAAGAGGTTCAAATGCAATTCAACTTCATTCGCAATGTACAATTAGTCTATAAAATAAAGTTTCTCGAACAGGCCTGAGAGAAGAATGACAGCGAGTCGACTCTTCATAGTAAAGCTGAAAGCTCATTCCACCACGGATGAGGTCAGGACCCAAACACAGCCGTATTTTGCTCCACCTGTCATCTTTTCCCTCTTTTTCATCTCTTCCAGCTAAAATTGTTGTTTTTTTTTTTTTTTTTTTAGAAAAGTGACATGGTAAAGACTTAGATTCTCTATAAATTCCAGAGAAACGCAGCCCTAGGCGTATTCCCCTCCAGCAAACTGAATCTCTGAATCTCTGGAAGTTCAGCAGTTCAGCGTAATGACGGTGAGAACACACATCAAAAGCGGCTTCAACAGTTTTATTTCCTGGAGCTGTTACGCTGAGGAGATGCAGGGGCTTGGAGTTTCGCTTAACCTTCCCTTTGTAGACCTCATAACTCGGCTCATTTGTTCAACATACCAGAGAGGAAAGTGGAGAGGAGCTCCCACATGACACGACTCAAACTTCCCTCAAATGGCTGAGAGATATTTTAAAATATATTTGGAAATGACATGTGCAGGAAATGACATGTTCCTAATAATGAGGAAAAGTTCTTGTATTAAATAAGCATTAAGCAGAACGATTCATGTTTTAAGGGCAAACAAGAAGAGGAACCACTTACAACAAATGATCCTCATAACTAATAATCATTTTTAAATGAATCATTTTTAATATTCTTTTCTTATAA